GGTTTTCGCTTTCATTCTCATAATAACTCTCATCATAGTCCATTGCACTATCTTTTCATATGTTATCTAGATATCCAAACAGATCTTTTAACCGTGAAACTCTACATTCTATCAATTTTTCTACCATATACTACAAATCACTAAACGTGATGGAATTGCCATAGTTGTCTGCAGTTTACCTCATCACATTTTCGACTGCATACAACTGTCATTTACTGCCCACAACTCAGCTTAATTCAGTTTAACGGTGCAGTTTTTCGATATGCTGCCGACCAATCGACATGAGTAGTTGCATACCACTCATGTTTGTTAATCGGATTGAAAAAATGTTTGCTTCACCAAGTATAAGCACGTACATTGGTGGCCGTGCGAGTCTGTTTCACTTAAGCCTGATGTGAATGGTTGACAGAGAGACAGAAGACATTCACCTTGAAAATGAATAATGAATACTGAATTATGCAACTTATCCATCCATAAGCTAACTTAACATCTTGAAGATGCAAAAAAGCACAGTGCATTCACACCGCAAGTTAAGCTTCTATTTATTTACTCTAAACTCTGTCAGAAATTTGTATGCTGACTATCTTAAACTAGGCCTAGTTATGAGAAAGTTAACTTCTGCCAATGGTTCAGAACTTTCCCAATTTCAGCCTAAACTTTCAAACGTGTAAGTCTTGCGATTCGGTCTAGAGCCTTTCTTATATCAAACTCCATTCCGCCTTCTTCACTGTATGACTCGCAAATGACTGATTGCTCTATACGAAACTGTAGTTATCAGTAGGTAAGTAAGTGTTTTCTGCAGTTTCAAGTAGCAGAAAAAATAGGCCGTCCTCAGAACTCAAGACGATAGGGGCAACATGGGCATTAAACGCAGACCCAATTCTGTCACAAGTGAATGACTCGATCCGCATTGAAGTAAAATTCATCAGAAGTAAACCTATACTTATGGGTTGTGTGTACTGATTTACTTCATCCAGCACGGAGTGTGATAACACGCTCAGCAACGTTTTTAATGTTACAGTCAATCTTCCTTTCCGTTATAAAATTATTGGAGATGAATTCAAATAATGGAAGTATCGTGGTCTTCATTCCGAGGACCCCTAACTTATGAAATCTCCTGAATACCTTCCTCACAGAAGGGTGAATACAACACGTACATTTAAACACAAGATCAGCAAATATCATAGACCTTATGTTCAAAAACAACGTAACACCATCTATGGTAAATGTGTGACACAAATTTCCAGGTACCATAGGTAGGTACCATAGGTACCATAAAATATCAAAACATCTTTCTTGAAACAAAATGCAGAGATGAAGCTGATCAGACACATATAAGATTGTACACACATACTGACTGGAACTTGTATCAGCGCATATTTACATGCTCTAATTGCTTTCAACCGGGACCCTAGGGGCAGTTTTTAACAATTTCATCACAATATTAAGTCAGTTCATGATGTCATTGCACCTGAGACGATTCTTACTTTCAAATTACCCCAAAGCGACTATATTCTGACATCGTTAAGGAGAAGTCTACGAAGCATTCAATAAAGTACTACAGATATCATGACTTATCATCATTAATTGCCATTACGTCCCTTCTCACTAGAATTCAAGAATTAAAAGTATAAAACCCAGAAACAAAGAAATGCGGGTCATTTAGGCACCGCACAACCCAGGAAAAATAGCCAAACCTTTCAAAAGTAGGCTAACAAACCCCAAAAAACTAACCCAAAAATAATATACCTAGACGGTGTTGCTTATCAGAATACTAGGGTGATGTGTGAACTGTTGACCAAGCACTTTGCCAGACTATTCACCTTGATGAACGATCGGTCGTGGATTTCCATCGTAGAACAGTCAAATGTCTAAGTGATATACTTTTCAGCATACAAGACATCAGTAAAGCTGCCTCAAATCTTGAGCTTAGTAGCACTATTGGCTCAGACAGTAAATCTTCCATTCTGCTGAAAAACGGTGGTCATGACATGAATTTACTCCTACTCAAGTTATATTCAATTTCACTAAGCGATGGGACATACCCTACCTGCTGGAAGAAGTCTTGTATTTTTCCTACCCATAAATACGGGCCTATAGCTGGCATCGACATCACGTCTGTAGTCTCACGTGTAATGGAAAAGATAGTAAAGCCTCGAATCACTCATTACTTGCTCTTTAATGATCTACTATCCCCATCCCAATAAGGTTTTTCAAGTAGAAGGTCGTGCATTACTTGCCACTTAGATTATTTTGACTACATTACACAGTGCATTGATAATGGGCATTCGGTAACAACATTATTTCTCGACGTTAGCAAGGCCTTCGATAAAGTCCCACATATCAGACTCATAACAAAACTCCAATCCTACGGAATAACTGGAAAACTTCTCAAATGGATAAATTCTTTTCTCACAGAAAGAGAGCAGTCAGTCAAAATCAACCACCAGCTGTCTTCATCAAGGTCGATAACTAGTGGTGTAATACAGGGTAGCGTTATTGGCCCTGTTCTCTTCCTCTTATTCATGCATGATATAGTCTCTGTGATCAAGCATGGCAAGCCATACCTCTTTGCAGATGATCTCAGGACAGTTTATGATTATGGGTACGATGACATGAGCGTCGAAAGTAAGATCCAACAAGTCTTAAACAATCCAGGCGATTGGAACCAAAAGTGGCAACTGACTTTCTACCTTTAAACATATACCATTCGGTCAGCCTATTGTTGAGATGCGACCATGTGGGCTCTGCACAGATTTATGGGGCATCTTATAAATTAACATGCTTTCCTTTGTCGTGTCTTCGAATATCACTTAACAATGTCTCATCCCATACATTTTCTAATAACGTCTTCACTTGCTCATTATATTCCACTAAACCTAACATTTTATAGCACTTTATGAATTTGATTCGACTTATTTTATTCCTATTCTCTATAGGGTACGGTTGTGCACCAAACACAAAAAGGTATGAAATTAAAACAACCGGCTTGTGGATAATTGTATTAAACCAAAAGTGGACAACATGATGGTAAAACCTATAGGGTAGCATTATACATTGCAAATGAACTTTGTCAGCCTAGGGATTATAGTCTCCCATTGTATTTCTTTTATGGATGCATATATTAATGATCCATTGCATTTACCCATTTCATTACACTTTAATGATTCACCTTAGCACCTTTACTTTTCTAAAACAGCTTACTATCCCTTGTAAACGTTGTACTTACCTCAATATTGGTTGGTTATCGTATGCCTACAACTACGGGTTGGAAACGAAATGAAGTCGATTTTCCTGCGCAACCTGGAGGACTGCTGTTTAATTCGATAATGATACGACATGGGTCAGACAATGAGTGTATTTATATATATGTATCAAATATTTAGCTGTTCAAACATCAACTTGTAGACAATCTACTATTTGACATTATATCATACTTGATCGTGCCTGTAAAAATGGCATGCATTTTCATGTAAATTTATGTTTATATGAAAATATAAATTATTATTATTAAAAGGAAGGCATAGCCCAACCTGAACGCTGGAAACCGAGAATGTGCCTTTATATGCACCGTAATCTCTCAAAACTGAACACAAACACAGATCTCGGCATAACATACTCAGATTTAACCTTTTCCTGTCATGCAAATTAGGTAGTATATGACTGTGACCGACTTACTGGCTTTGTACTGCAAAACTTTTACTCCCAAGAAACAAGTTTAGCTATACATAGAACATGTATCCGCCCCAAGCTTGAATCCTGTGCTCTCCTATTTAGTAACCTAAGGTCTGCAGACCGAAAATAAGTCGAAAGTGTCCCGAGATTCCTCACGAAACGCATAATGGCGGTTGATCAACAAGTGGAATATGTTGACAGGTGTATACAACTGAAATTAGAACCCCTGTGGTTAAGGAGATTGAAACGCAACTTCTTTCCACTCTTCAAATTCATCAGGAAACATTGTTTCAGTAACTCATCCATAACGTGGGCAAATATCAAATCATATCAGCTGCGAAACCACGACTACCTTGTCAAGGTGGCTACCCACAGAAAATCCACTAGGGCAAACCTTTTCACCATTAAATATTGCACTCTTTGGAACCAACTACCATCTAAAATTAGATGTTGTGAAAACCCTGATGGGTTCAAATGAAGCCTAGAAAGACACATTAACATGTCCACTCCAGCTCGTCTAAAAGACCAAAACTGTTGATAAGATGGTAAACGAAAGCCAGTCCAGTCTTCAGTGTAGTCAATTACGTATAACTCGACTCTACTACTTACTCAGTGGACGTTTAACGCTTATAGTAAAAACTTCGGAGGGAATGTGCATCTTTACCAGCTAATATAATTATCCACATTACTAATGAAGGAATGGCAGGAGCGAAATTAATGTGTTCTCTATACGCTCTCTATCACAGACGCAAGGGTCTGGAAAAATCTTGGTGGTTGGAGAGTAGAGCTGAAAGAGTTTTAATAGTTACACTTAAAATATGTGTTTCCCCATTCCATACGGATCTTCGATTACTTACGCAACTTTATTGAATGACAATTCATCCTGCACACGTTTAACTTAGTTTATCTTCTTCATTTGTCCACCAGTGAGCTGAGAAAACTACCGTCCTCATCCTTGGTTATGATAGTGGCTTACTAAATAGCAAATAGCTCAGTGTAGTGTTACACTTGCTAGATGTTTCCAGGAGGCTACTCACTAGTCGAAATCTAATATTAAACAGCTCTCATCTTTTCAAATATTCTGCCAGGTTGGTTTTTCGGAGACTATTTCGATCAACCCAGCCTACAACATATTATTCAGACACAATTAGTTACATAAAATTTGTACTCTAAACTACTAAATCTTATTTTCGACTAACGAAATTATTTCATTATTGTGCTATAATATCGAATAAAATTCTTTGCACTTACATTCCATGAGATGTTGTTGCCAATTATACTTACTGATTTTTTTGGGACAGTATCGCTACATCTCGTTTTCGTTTAAAACTGTCAATAGTGTACTCGGATGAAACTTGCACTTTTTCAAAATGAAGGACTGCGCGGAAACTAAAAATCACCAGGCCAGACTTTGTCACTTGAAAAAGTGGCCGAATTTTAGTGGCTATGGATTCAGCCTACGAACAGACTCTTTAAAAAATGAGCATAGGGTTGAAAATGTTGAACCACTGTCACCTAGTGAATCAGGGGGTCTCCTCGCCGGTGATATTATTCTACTGGTGAATAACAAAACTGTAGGCAAGTCTAGATTCATACTTACTGTAATTCAAGTAGATCGCCTTTCTCATATTGAGGTTGTGAAAATGATCAAAGAAAAACAAGATGTGGAGTTACTAGTTGTTCAGCCTTATGATTTAGCGTACTTTAAAAAATTCAAAGATCCACTGACTTTAGCATCTAAGGATCCAATACGATGCGAGACTTCAGAGGAGGTAAAATTTTATACTTGCCGTTTAGTTCATAAATACAGTGAATTTATTAAAGGATTTAAACTTTTATTGAAAATCAGTTAATTACCTTTAAATTATTTTTATTTTTGTGATTTTTGAACCTATGATTCACACTCATCATTTAATATGATAGATTTTCATTCAGAATAATCAAAAATTTTGCTAGTTTCTTTATCACAGTGGGTTAATTTGTAGTTCAGTTTTAATATCAGAATCCTTATTTATTTCTTCACAAACTGTTTATGAAAATTATGATGTCATTTAAAAAGATTGTCGGTGTGATTTGCTTCTTCTTGTGTACAAGGTGTAGAATGAATCAATGTAAGCTTTTTATAGTGATTTTTATGCCTGGTTTATCCCATTTCTTCACCAGCGTTAAATGGCGAGGGAAGCTACGTTGTTGTATTCAGAGCGACCAAAGCAAATGACCGGCCAGATGACCTTAAGTAGCTTCAGTGAAGCCTTCATAACTATAACGCACTCAAGATTTTATTCATTTGTTTAATGGGATGCACACCTGTCTCCCAAAAGGATTATGGGAGCATTTGAAAAGCAGTATTCCAGCAATAACTATGTCACGAAATTACCTGATATACAATCATTACCATTAGTTCATGTAAAAAAATGGTTTGAACTAATACTGAAAACCCTAGTGACAGACACGGAAACACTTCCAGTACATATAACAGGTTATTATCTTGTATAGTTATTTTTTCTGACATAATTGCTTTTCTGTGAACTAATTTAATCCGAAAAGCGCCTTTGTTTTTCAAAGCTACTTTATTGTTTTTTTTCAGTCAGCATACTTTTCTAGCCGTATTCAGATTTCAAATCTGGATTTTCGACTAAGGATAGAAGATATCTAGGGTTTGCGTATGTTTAGCAACTGTATTCTTCCTCAGGAACGTTTGAATATCTGTTCTAATGATGGAGGAAAGATTTGGAAAGACTATCACTTCACTATGTTCTGCCTACAAAATCGGTTTATCATTTGTTTGGCCTTTAGCCTGAGTATAAAACACAGGACAATTAGGTTTGATACCTATTTGGCCTTCAAACCATGGCTGGAGACAGAGCGTGCTTTTAGAGAATTCTAATGGTTCATTGGTCCCAAGAATCAGAAAAATCCTTTCGATACGCAGTGTACTTTATTTGAACTAGCTTCCGAATATTCTTTCAGAAACTAGTGCCAGTCGTAAATGAGTTGTGAAAATACTGTGAGTCTGTCTGTCTGCTTTCGACATAGAACTTTGCACATATATGCGGCAGTTCAAGTCGCCACACTCCATTAACCACACAAAGCAAGAGAAGAAAGTAGAAGAAATGCATAATATAGTCAGTAAACAGAGGTGTGAGACAAAGGAATAGTAATAACGAAGAACAAAACAGTTTAATTAGGAATCATAAGTCACAAGGAGTGGATGCATCTGCGCCATTGAGAACGATTTTGAGCCGTGTCACAAATTGTCTCCAGCCATTGATTTTTACCGTCCCGAGGACCCCAACCAGAGAGTCTACACCTTCCTACGTGGCTTAGACTAACTGTTGTAGATTTCATTGACTGGTGCAATGTTTTCGTTTGACCGCCGCTAGCTCTTTTCCAGTCTGACTCTATATCAGCTAACATTGCCTGTCGAGGAAAATTGTCTACATGTCTTCCGAATTCTAAATTATGTAGAAAAAATGTTATAATACTTTTCCATACGTTTTAGGCAGCATTCCTTGAAGTGATTTGATAAGCTCTTCTTAAGTGTTTCTGCCCTCGTCCCCACGAAAGAGACTGTCATCATAAAGTTGTATGACTCCTCAGTCACCCTTTAAAAGACTTCTTGGTATTTTCACCAATAATAATCTTATAAACCGTTGTTTCTACTATTTCTAAAGCTTGAATTTCCCCTTAGTGCCATTTACTTTTATTGGGATTTTTTCTGCTTATAGAGTTATATACCAGGGTCACTCTACCATTTAACACTTTCACCCATTTTTAAATTATGTTTTCAGTTCCATTTTTTGGTTTTCCTCAAAAATGGAACTGAAATGGAATAACAAATCTTTCATTGGTCTGATACTGTTATTCAACAACCACTTGGAATTCCACGCAGTTTACAATGGGGCAATACGTTTGTCGTGTGAAGGCTAGTGATATTACCATGACTTTGAGAACCTTGGTAGTTGGAGTGGAACTCGAACCCTTGATCTCCTAGTTGGCAGTAGATCACCTGAACAAATGGGCCACAGTTCTATTTTGAATTTCTAAACATTCATCTCAGGTTAATAATGACATCAAATTCAGATAAGAGGGTCACAGACTATATGTCATTATTGATTTTAGTAACCCATTCAGTCACATCCCTTCGGTTATTTCATCACTTCCTTATTCGGTTTTTGTGACCAAAAACTACTGATGTTTGTATCTTAATTTCAATGTTCCTTTAAACTACTCTACTTGGTTTGCAAGTGTCAGGTATGGAACTCTGAAGCGTCAGTCAGTAGTTTAATTTCTACATTAATACCATGTGTGTGTTAGTTATTGTATGATACGATTGTAACCGTCATCGGCTAATAGGCAAGTAGAACTTATTTAATTTTATTTAGCAACATACTCTTTCTGACTGGATAGGTACCAGTTTGTTTCTTCTGATGATATCATGTTTTCTAAGTGAAACAGTGAGATCTTCATTATTAATTCCGTCAGCATTACAACTTACATGTTGAAAAATCTTGTTTATCAACAAGTTGTATAAGGTACTACCAATCTGATTAAGACTCTGTTGGTAACATTATGATGTTCACTTTTTAAGAAATGACGTTGAAAATAAAAAAGATTTGTATCTTTAAGCTGTAGTTCATTTATGTGATACATGGAAAGTAATTCCACTTTTTTCTCCTTCATTTCTTCGCATTCCATGTGGAACATATGACTTCACACTGTAGCTCTGAAGTTTCAGTAGCACTGGTGTTATATGACTTTTATGCGGTGTGGTTGCTAGCCTTACGCCGTCAGCCAACATTCCTTCTATTTCAGGCTAACTAGGCGAGGTTTAAGAGTGCATCAGCCGGGAATCAAAGTCGGCAAGCTCTCTACCATTACACCATTGATGGACGAACCCATATTACACCTAATAAACTTTTTTTGATATGATTATTATTGATGTAAAATGCCATGTGAAAAATCACAATAGCTTTCCTTAAAGTCAAAGGAAAAGTCACAAAAAGCTTTAGATATTGGACCTATTAAGCTTCTAAACACACCTATTTCTTCTCCGTATTACCACTATTAAAAGCACAAACTTGACACATTACTGGCACCAAGACAAGCGCCAAACAAATGTAATGAAATAACGAAATATAAGGAAAACAATGCTAGAATAAATGAGGGAGGTCATGCAAAAAAAGCGAAGCATAATTGTCAAAATAACACATCATTCATCACTTCATGTTCCTTCCAGCTAGGGAAATTGCGGCATGTTCGTCACTGACTGCGATTCTTGGCCATATCTGATAATGTCTCAAGCTGCCGATTGTATCTATCTCTCTAACCCCATTCAGGAGGTAGCGATTTACCAGCGGAAGACAATCCAACACATTTTTCATTCCATGGCGTCACGACGTATGCTCATCACCTGCTCACTTTTTCTACTCGGTCCCAAAACTAGCGAACATTCAGTGGTATGACAGCCTCTAGGAAACATTTGTAGCACATGTCCAAACCTCCGGAGTCGGTATTTCAAGATGGTCGTACATCTTCAGGCCAGAGAGGCTAAGTTTTACGGGCGTAGAGCAAGACTGTACTCATCGCAGCATTGTAATCTCGACCTCTGACAGCTAGACCGACGTTATAACGGTGAAAGAGATGGTCTAAAATGGCGTATACCATGCCAACTTTTACTACACAGTAGTTACACATTTTGTCAGTCACTTTATTAGTGCTATAGCTTAGCTTTGTGAGTGGCCAAAGGTGTTTATCCATTCTGTTTGTTTATATTTATTCTACCTGAATTTCTTTTGGATTGAAATGACTTACATGATCACTATCTGTCATCTTTCATATGATTAGAAATTGCTTGAGGAAACTTGTTTCCCTACATATATAGATTATTTTGAATTGTGTTGGCAATGTTGTAGCGGATTTTTATGTATCATAGCTTATTCTGTAATAAGTGGTGATTTTAGGCATTTACCTGGTCTTAATTTGACGGAATTCTATTTGGATCCAAGACCAACTTTTAAGCAAATAGGCACGATCGTGATAATAAGATTTTAATGGATTTAGGCGATCACGAAGAGTAAATACATCTGCATCATTGGAAACGATTTTGAGTCACGTTCCTAACAGTTTCCAGCCTTTGATCCTTAGCGTCCCACAGCTTCAAGTCAAGTAGTCTATACATCTCTACGTGGCTGGCTCAAATCAGCTGTCAAACACTTCACAGATTGGTTGGTGTCGTGTTCTCAATCGAATTCCGTGTCAATTAAAAACGTCCAACAAGGAAGTCAATAGAATAGTATGTGCAACGTCTAGTTATGTCAGTGACGTATGAGCTTTCCATCGAAAATATTATCTTAAGAAATGAAACCTAAACGTTTTGAAGTTTACTCACAGGTGTTTTGAAATTTATTTTTGAAATTTATTATGATAAGGCATTTGGTTGACCTTGTTTCATTGTAGAACCTGTGGATTCTCAGGAATTCAGTTTTTATGCATGTGTTCGATAGGCGGTTGAATATACCCTTGAATTCAATTCTGAATCCTGTCTTAGAGCAAACTAATTTTGAATATTGTAATAGGAGTTATTAAAAAGACAATTGCAGCGAAGAAAATTTTCTTTTCGACGAAGTCATCATCTAGGCTGTACATTCGTGTATTTGTATCAAATGGATGGGAAAGTTCCAGAATAATTTCCGGTTAAGGGTCAAATTAATAAAAACTACAATTAGGAATTAGTATGCCATAATAAGTGCGTCGGTGGCATAGCAGTTAGTACGCTCGCCGACCATGCACATGGTTCGGGGTTCGATCCCCGTCCGACGCACTCCCAAACCTCACTAAGTCAGAGATAATACTGGTGAAGAGGAAAGGTTGGACATGAGGCTAGCAACCTCATCCTGTAAAATAAACACTGCTACAGAAACTTCAAGCCGCTAGCTTGAAGCCCTATGTTCCACTGGAAAATTGAAGGAAAAAAAATGCCATAATAAACAGGGGGACGGATAAAACTCAAACAAAGTAGCATTATAATAACTAAGAAGATTGACATTGTACAATTGGGGGTTAGAAATGTAGAAATAACAAAATATACAGGATGTTTGGATAAAAAACTAATGTGATGAATAATTGTTTATGCAATCAGGGATTAAATATGTAGAAATAGTAAAATGACAAAATAAACAGGAAGTGTGGATATGAAAATATGGTAGTGTAGACAGGGATTAAGAAAAACTTAAAATAACATGAATAAACAGGAAGTTTAGATAAGAAAGGCGATGAGATCGTCATTACTTAAAAATTTACCTGTTTATGATGGCCATGGCAGGGACAGGGGTTGGACGTATTTCTTTTGGATACAAAGCGTGGGTTTGAGTTTTTGGATAGCTAGCGCCTCAGCTATGCCCAAATGTCTTGATTTCACTCCCTTTGACAGGTTTGATTGAATCTTGTATATTACTTTGAAGGACTTTTCGAAAGGCGCTGAATGTCCTGAGTTGACCAGATGTTCTGTCACTGAACTGCATACACGTTTTTGGTCTCCTTTTACACTCCAGGAATTCACTTTCTTTATTTATGTATATTAATTATTCTCTTCAGGAAATGAATCAGTTAACTGGTGCTGAACGACATTTAATCAAAGCTGATTCAGATACGCTAAATGAAATATATGAACGTAAACGTCATTTAAAGTTGAACAACAATATTGTTGGTCGTTTAAATTCACGTGGCAATATCGGCGTTGAAAATGTTACCTTTGGCGGTAAATCTTGTATAAATTATGGTTACAGTCATGAAATGGAACATTGAAAATAATTTAAAAAAATAGACGATAATTATGTCATTATTAATGATAAAAGGTGAGTACTTTCATATTAAGAAAGCAAATATTTTTGAGTATTTCTTTTCATCAGAATGCTTAATTACTTATTTTTGAAATTAACTAAATTGATATCCGTCAGTGGTTCATTTGTTGAATGTTTGCTAACCATACAGGAGGTGTGGGTTCGATTCCCGGTTGACACACTCCTGAACCTTGCCTACTTTACTAGCCTAAAGGGCAAAGTTCAACAATAGAGTCCCAAGCAATGCGAACGCACAAGTGACCTTGAGCCGACCAGTCAGAAAAAAGGATGATTTTTGCATAAAAGTTTACGTATATTTACATAAAAAAGCATAAAAAAACGTTAAACAGGATATTTTTCTGTAATATGAGATAAAAATATCTCCCAATTTTGTATAGGGGTTTCAGTTTTTAAATTGAACCAATTTCTATACATATATTCATTCAAATGACTGAAAATAACTTCGTTTTGTGATCCGTTGATAGCTCAGATTCTATTTTTCAGTCTTCCCCAGAAACCTTCGATGGAATTATTATGAGTACCTGTGACAGGGTCGACGGAATCATTCGAATGGTTCACTCTATGATTTATATATCCCAATTGCGATAATTGGCTATATCCCGCCCATTCATCTGTGTGAATGGTGGTGCCTGGTAACACTAGACGCTGAATAATAGGAAGGAGTGTATCAGCACTCCTATCTAGAATCAGCTCCATGAACCGTTTGCGAATCTAGGTGTCATAAATTCCTAAAACCCAAACGTTATTCGCTCTGGCACCCAGTAATTGGACAGAAACAAGATATTCACGCAAAGTTAAACTTTCGACACCAATAACAACCAATCATCAAAGACAGTTTCAACTTTTCAAAGAAAGTTCCTAGAAGACAATTAATTCAGTGTCACTTACCAGTATGCACAATTATTCGCGCTAGAATAATGGTGAGCTTCCTCAACCAATGACTAGCATGCGTTCAGGGTCATTGGAACATTCACAAGGTCATTGGAACATTTACAATCCTGGGACTCTATTGTTGAACTTCGCCGCCTAAAGTAAGCTATAAGTGCATCGGTGGCACAGTGGTAGAATGCTCGCCAACCATAAATGTGGTTCGGGGTTCAATCCCCGGCCAACGCACTCCTTCACCTTGCTATGCTAGTAATAAGACTGTTAAAGAGGGAAGGTTGGGCATGAGGTTAGCAACCCCATCCCGTAAAAGTAAGTACCACTGCTACCGAAACTTCAAAACTCTTGCTTGAAGCTCTATGTCCCACTGGAGACGTAAAGGAATTGAATAATGATAATAATAATAATAGGTAATCCATGAAAATAGGGAAGGTTGTAGGCGTGAGGTTAGCAAACTCCAGAAAGTAAAAATCAAAAAGTAACACCACCAACGCTGAAAATTTGTAAAGGATTGAAGCCTTTTGTTTCACTTGAAATCCAAAGGAATGAGAAAACCTCTTGATATGATATATTCTCAAGTATTATTATGGATATACTTTGATAAAACTGAGCATTGGTTTCGTCTCACTAAAATAATTAAGGTTAAGTTCGAGATATCAATTTTGTTCATGAATTGACTTCATTTAGAGAGCCATTGAAAACCAGAGAATACTGGACAACTGTTTCGTCCTCATCTGGGACTCTTCTACAGTACCCACATATTATCCTACCAAGGATCTAATTCAGATGGTCAGCTCATTGAACATTCTGACACGGACGTAATCTAATGGCCCATCAATTCTAACTTATGTCAATTCGTGGTGTATATCGCTGCTGCCAGTTAATGCAATCGACGAGTATCTGTCCTCATGGCCAACTTAGTAGAGCCAGCTGATTAGGATTTCTCACTTATCAGGCAACTTCCTTCCTTAGTCATTCACTAGTGAGCACTGGAGTAGTTATGCAAGAAATGCCTTCTAATGTCCACAAATTTGAAAATTCATTACAAGATATTTTAAAATATCATTTAACTTTTCAAATTTTGGGATTTCTGAGAATTTTGAATAGTTTCGTGAACTGACTTCAGAATCATTGAAAACTAAGGAGTAATGGCCAACTGTTTTGCCCTAGACTGTGACTCTTCATTATTGTACACCGACGACCCTACCGAAGAGTAGAACCTAAGACTTTGGGGTTATGAATTCAGCCCTTTGAGTATTCATCCACTGGGTCGGAATACAATTTTCCTCCTTTCATAATACAGCACTACCAGCCAAAGATGAGCATCCACTTTACATCTGACATGCTGGACCCTGCCAACTATGACCTTTCATTAGAACTTCAGGCCATTCATACTTCAGTAACTAATGAGTATGACAGTGATATTCAGGTTTTAAGATTTGTAGGAATTTTGATTAATCATTATATAGATTTCTTTGGGGACTGATAGTAATCGGAGAATCAGTGAAAATCAAGCAGCACTGAACATTTGTTTCGTCCTAGTTAGGGACTCTTCAATGGCAGTACCACGTTGATGAAATGACAGAAAGTCAAGTTCGTAAGTCTTCTTTTTCCAAGGCACTAACTGAATGGTCAACGCGATGACTTCGTAACTTGAAGGTTTGAGATTCGATCCCTGATGGAACCGTTGGCACACACTGTTCAAGAGTTCTAAAGTAGAATGAAACAACTCTTCACTGCTTCCTGATTTTCAATTATTCTGCAAACAGTGTCTATTTGTGATAAAACACTAAACTCAGGTTCTCAGTGTCCAGAATATTTGAAATAACCTTAGATAGGTAGACTGGAATTTCTACAATGAAACGTATATTAAATTGAAATAAAAAATATCATTTCGGAGAGGGTTCTACTAACTAATGGCTGTTAAGTAAACTGCTGGATAAACCATGATGCTCAACTGCGCCATAGTAGCAGATATAATTTAATCTTGTGTATAACACGTCCATTGGGAAACCTAGAGGTAACAAGTTTCAGACTAACAACGGGCTGATTTTATCATATTAAGCTTACTCATTATTTATTACATTCAGCTTAATGTAATTACTGTCTGTAATTAAATCTACTAATAGTTCCTGAGCTTTTCAATAGTTTAAAAAGTACTATAGTAGCCACAAAAATTCAATTTCTGGCTGAGTATTATTTTATTAGATGGGGAGGAGTAATCGAAACCAGGATACATATTTCGTCTTATTTGGCACTCGTCACCTGGATATACTTGCATCCTATCCAGTAAGTGAATGTATTCCCAATGAAAGTAGAACAACAAAGCACTATCCACGGCAGGTACCTCTTGTGCAACGAGTACCAGGTATTGTTTGTTTTTCGGACTAGTGGATAACGCGTTTGGCGTTTGAAACGACGCATTTAGTGTTCGACTCTCACTCACTGGTTAGGATGTATAAGAATCCCTCTAACGAGTGCTGGAAAGGGCGGATGACGCATTCAAGATTCCAGTGTTAATCACCATCAACCAAAACTGCATCATGCTAATCTTCAGACGTCACTGAAGTCTCCGTACTAGGAACTGGCCAAGACATTAGTCAACCGGAAATGCAAGTTTGACCCAAAAAACAAATTAATAATGACTAGTTTAATTAGATCATTTGATAACCCACACTCGTTTTAACTGCATAAATTGGGCTCTTAATTAAGAGACTATGTTTGATGTCATACAAACTCGAAGACTTGCAAGCAAAATTCAACAGACTGGCTGAGGAAGCAGCGAAGATAGGACTCCAGGTGAACATAGAGAAGAGGTAGGTGATGAAGATTACCAACCAATCAACTGCAACTGCAACAACAACAGTAACCATCACCAGTCACCATCAACGGGAGAGATTTGACAGAGGTTACTTACTTCACTTATCCAACCAGAAAGCACGGTTTCAACCACAAGAAGACGGAACGGATGAGTATGTCAAAGGCAGCCAAAATCGGAAAGGCAAGATACGCCTTCATCAACCTGAAAACAGTTTGGAAATCTGCTTCACTCACTCAGCATAAAGAACACGATTCAGATTTTCAACACAAATGTGAAGTCAATCAGTTCTTCTATACAGGTCAGAAACTTGGTGTGCGTGTTACGAAAAGCATTTCCAACAGCCAATCGCAAACTTTTATCAACAGCTGTCTTCGATGGCTCTATATTGAAGACCAAATGCCCAGTCAGAGATAATTAGCAACAAGAAACTCTGCAGTGGAACAAACCAACCAAGAGACAGCTACTTAACAAATATGCAGGTGAAAATAGAGATGGATCGGCCGTACGTATAGGAGGCCATTGAATGACATCGCGTGCCAGGCCATCAATCGAATGGAATCCAGATGAGGAGCAACGAGTGGGTCGTCGGTGTGAGAGTGAGATTGAGGATGTTGTGTGAGTTGGAGGAGATGAGAGATTATGGACAATCGTGGGTCCAGATGAAGAGAATGGCAGAAAATAGAAGAAAGTGGAGATTTGTTGGTTGAGCCCTATGTTTACTCGGAATGCAAGGGAATAATAACAATAGTTTGGGGCGAAATTAAAATTTAGTCATCCAAGAAGCGCGAACGCATTAATGACTTCGGAATATTCAGTCACGACAAGATATTGAAGCCAGGCAAGTAACACTATATTCATGAAAAGAGTGTTGAATGCAGTGTAACGATATTGAACAGGGTGCATGGTTAGTTTTAATTTAAGTCAGGAAAAGGTTTAAGTTAATTTTGATCTAAGGACAACTTAGGGGTAGTCAGATATTATGGTTGGTTTTCCGGGCTCGAGCCGTGGCCGAAGCACTCCCAATCATCGCTTAGTGGGTAGTAAACCCAGTAAAGAGAGGAGGTTGGGGCTGTGAGCCTAGAAGCCACACTCCGTAAAAATAACACCACTGCAACTAGAACTTCAAATCTCAAGCTTGAAGCTCTACACTCCACTCAAAATGCATAAGAAAGAAAGAAGCGCTTTAGATCGGTGACGCAAAGGGTTGGTTCAAGAGTCTTCACCACTAACAACATAGAACTGTAGGGAAAGTCAAGAAGCGAAGCTTTTTAAAACTTGCTTTTTCTAG